GGGAGCGGTTAACATATGGTTTGAGATTAAAGGGAGTTTCCATGATCGGAGAGAGTGTGCTGAAAACGGACTATGGAAACCTGGGTTCTGGTGCTCCGACTGGCTGGTGACCATGGGAAATAATTTATTTTTAAATTTTCTCTTCAATAAAACAATAATTTGGCTAAGTAATTTGTGTCCCACTTAGTTCTAGTATTCTGTGATTTATTTTGGTCACTTTCAGAAGTAGAATCCCAGATTAGCTGATTGTCATAATTCTTGGTCATAATTTTTATTTTAGCCTTATAATGAGAATGCTTCATTTATTCAGCTATATAGACAGTAGAGAAAGTTAAAGTTTCAAACATCCAAACCTACGTGCATAGTGTGCCTGATTATAAGAAAAACATGTCATTATAATATGATTATATAAAAATGGTATCTGCTTTACCCAAATAAAGAATAAAAAAAAATTAGAGGGAAAAATTGAATATTTATTTAATGGATCTGTTTGTAGACATAGATATATATTGAATGTAGTTAAGTAGCAAAAAATAGCTTACTGATATAATTATGTAGACATATTTTAATCATGTTATATAAAATATTCATTAATATAGTCATATCCTTTTTTCACTCTCAAAATTTGAAAGAAAACTTTCTTCAGACTTTTCACGTGTATGGTTAACAACATGTCTATCACTATAGCCATATTTTGAATCACAGATAACCATACTGTAAGTTATATCATCTTCCATCTATGTTGTTTGAAAAATAGCATTTTTTAAATCTGTGTATGATGCCGTCATTTGAAATATAGTCATCAAAAGCACCAGGACTCACACGTGTCTTGCTGTTGTCTGTTTTTAGGCTTTTCTAGATGGATAAATGTTACGTCCACAATGCAACTTCTGACTAGGCTTATATAAGTGATTTTTAAGAGAGTGACTAACAAGATATGTTTTATACACAAGGGGAAACTGAGGCTGAGGAATTCCTAAATCAAGGTCTGTCTGATCTCTGATTCTTGTTTACTTCATTAAAATATACTGGTATTTGTATAGAGATGACAAAAATTGCTTTAGCTTTTCCAGTGTCTTATACTCAGATATATAGCCTCAAATTTTCCATTCCACCAACTGTATTCTCAGGTAAATTGTGAGCATGATAACCAAATTTTGTGGTGTTTTGGCTGTGGATGCTTAATTTTTAGTGATGTACCTATTCTTCTGGTATTTTGGGACTTCCAGATCACATATGCAAAACTTTTTCCTCTGTCAGTAAAATAAAAACCAAATCAGTATCTTCAAGCCCACCAATTTCCCATGACTAGACATGATCAAACCTGATCATGATGAAAGATCAGCTCAAATGTATTTGTGCTGAATTATTAATGTATACATGTTTACACACGTATTTCTCACCTTTGACTAACTATATTTAATATATCTAGATATTCCATATCCAGTAATTCTGTGTCTGCAAATCCTTTGTCTGTTAAATATGGCTCTGGATTTAACAACTATATGATGATTTCAGTTAGTGGTATAAGAAAATATTATGCTGATCTCTATTGTAGTCAAGACAAATGTTCAAATTCTATCTGAAAGAGAAAAATACAAATTTTAGTAATTACGAGTTATTTTCATCAATATAAATTTGCTTTGGGAAACATTTCAATGTGGGTAGCTACTATAATCTCAATGAGCACAGAACATTCTCTTACAGGACCTTTCCTGCCTTTTCAAAAAAATTTTTAAATAGAATTATGGGTTGATGTGATCCCTTCTTTTCCCCATTTCTTATTTTGAAGCCTAGACCTTATTGGGAGACAGGGCCTTAAAAGAGATCATTAAATTGAAATGAAGTCACTAGGATTAGCTTTAAGCCAATATGACCGGTGTCCTTATACAAAGGAGAAATTTGGACACAGACACAGATTTAGAGGGAAGATGATAGGAAGACACAAGGAGAGGATGGCCATCTACATGCCAAGGAGGAGACTTCGAACAGATACTTTTTTCACAGCTCTCGAAGGTATCAACCCTGCCAGCACCTTGATCTTGGACTTCTAGTCTCCAGAACTGTGAGCCAATAAATTTCTGTTGTTTAAGCCACCCAGTCTGTGGTACTTTTTTTACAGCAGCTTTAGGAAAGTAACACAGGACCATTTTGGAATGTTTGCTTATGTACATCCATGGAAATGGACTTTATTTCCTTTGCTAGAATGCAGATTTTATTTTAGTTTCATTATTATAACTGTGCAGAATATACAGCAGTTATGTTATGGATTTCTTTCTGCTACAAGTATGTTTTTCTACATATTTTCTCAATATTGCATTCTTTTTAAGTGCTTTAATATTTTAAATCTTCTATTAGATATTGTAAGGCTAGCTGTTAAAAAATAAGCTAAAAATGGTAAGAGAGGGCAAATTTAACAGGTTTATTTTATTCTGTTCATAAGAAATAATTAGTATTTCTACTATTTCCAGTGTATAAGTCTCATTTTTTAACATAGTAATTTTATAGTTTCAAAAGAAATCACATCTAACTTTCTGCAGAATGAATGGGGATTTATCTTTAAGATACTGTTATGAAAGTTGCTGTATTAGTGAAAATTACAAAATTGTTATCATTGTGCTAATTAGTAACAGGCTTGATTCTCCCAAAGCATATTCTTTTGTCTGAAGGTAATGCTGAAGAGCTTCCAATATAAAAGGAGAGAGGAGAAATAAAAAAGAGAAGTTATCAGTCAGAAATAACATACCTTTGCTCAAGAATAGGAAATTGTGGAGCTTAGGAAAGTATAAAAAGTTATATAGCATTTATAACTTTTCATAGGTGAACTACAAATGTATGGATTTTTCAAACCATGCTATTCACCTATATTTACCTTCCAATGAACTGTGGTTTGCATCACTGAAAATCAGATATTTAGGGTTTGCTTGAATCCTTCAGCTGGTTCTTTTTCTAAATATATCCATTAGAATTGGAACATTTTCTTCACAGACAGGCTTGGAAGTTTGGGGGGTGGTGTTGAACATGGATAGTTTGGTGGAAATTCTGGAAAAATAGAACAATTCTAAAATAATAGAAAATATCCCTTAAATAACTACCTGAAGATACTTGTTAACTAGTTGAAATGCTCTCAAAATTTACTTCTTTGTTCTTTCTTGTTTTTCAAGTGTTTGTTTGTAGTATTCCAAGGGATGGCATTATAAACAGAGTGCATTAGGACATTTTAGCCTATTTCAAATGGAAGCAGGCTTGAAAGCAGGGTAGCATGTATTTCCCAAGCTACAGGGTGCCTCCTTCTATGTAAGAAGCTAATAATATGATTAAGATAATTCCAGGATCACAGTCACAAAAATGTTTACCAAATATCTAAAAATTTTAAGGGTAATCTATATTTTCTTGGATTCTGTTTGTTTGGTGAGTTTTCCAAGTTTGGAAAAAAGAGGGATAATTTAATTGACTTTCCATCACACTGTGAATATAAGGGGTTCTTAAAATCCAAATGGGAACTAAATGAATCTTTTCATTGCATTGTAGTATATGCTCATCATATGTCTTAGGTATCTTAAACTGAGTCCTCTTTTGTATATTAAAAGTTGTTTTCAACTTTCCTTTGATAAATACCATGATTAAAAATTTGTGAAGGAGAATAAAAGTGGCATTGTTGCAAATAATAGTTGCATAGTTCAGAGCTGGATGATTTAATTGATCATAATACATTTATTTTAACCTCTTGAGTTAATGGAAGAATGGTGTAAATTGAGTTGAAATAAAGAAATGAAGATGTAGCTTCTAAAATGTTGACTGAGATTCTTTGCTTCTATTAAAAATTAGATTTTCAATTATTAATAGACTATTTTATCCAAAGAAATAATATATATGCATGATTTGGTTTTATCTGAAATTTGCTTTTTACAATTTGTAAGCCACCTTTGAAGTGACCTCTGTGATGCAGACAGCATGGTGTGGTAGATCATGTGAAAGAGTAACGTAGCTTAATGGGCACAGATCCTATTTTCCTTATATAAATAATATGTTCCTCAACAGATTCGATAGTATAAAGGTCATTAAAATGCATAATAGAGTATTTCTGTTCTACTTTGGAGGAGTTCCAATGTTTTACCATTAACCTGAGCCTCAGTTTCATCGATATAAAAGAGCTGTTATAAAGATTAAATGTTAGAAATATATAATATTTAGCTCAGAGACTATGGACGGAAATGATAAGCATTTTTATTATTATTAAGCAAATATTCATACATTTGTCCATTTATGTATGAATAAATGTACATATGAATTATGTAGCACTGTGGAGACTATTCTGAAAGATACAAGTGCATATTTAAAGCCATTATTGTCCCCAGGGGATTGATACATGTAGATATTAGAGCAAGTCAGGGTAGATCTGCCACTCAATTCATGGCATTTATCCTTTAATCCAACGGTGTACTCTATGACCCTCTTTGGCCTTTGGTATCCATAAAATAACTATATAATAAAAATGGAAAATGAAATTTAAATACAAATAATAAGGAAGGAAAAAATGGAAAACTATCTATAAAACAGCTGCTTGCATCGTGTCTTGCCTGTACACCATCCCTTTGAGAATCCAGACTGCAGCAGATACTTTCACTTCCATCTGTATTCAGCTTAATTCTTGCCGATGAACTTGCCAGTGAGGGCTACTTAGAGATAGTGGTTTTGGGGAACACTGATGATCAGAGACCAAATCCAGGCCACTAAGTCAGTTTGTAAAGGCCAGTAAGGAGCAGGAGAATGGAAATTACTTTCAGATATTACTAATCTGCGCCAGGTTTGCCTTGGGAGCCTAGCAATAGAAGGTTCTGTATCTTATTACTCATCACTTGAGTCACTTGTTCCCCTTGTTCTTTAATTAAGTTCTGTTACTTTAAAGAGCGCTTTTGGAATGGTTTCACTTAAGAGTAGGAAAAGATGATCTTCATTCAAATCTTTAACTTTTTTTTTGTTTTCTTTTTTCTCCTTAGGGATGCAGATCTGTTCCTGTTAGACACACGAAAGGCCCAAGCTTTAGATGTGGGCTGGCTTGTCTTTGATATTACTGTGACCAGCAATCACTGGGTAATTAATCCACAGAACAATTTGGGCTTACAGCTCTGTGCAGAAACAGGAGATGGTAAGCATTGAATTTCATATATTTTTTGTGGTCCTGGTTTTGATACATGGACAGTTATAGCTTTTTGTGCAATTAAGCCACTGTGTTTTATACTTACAATGTGCAACACAGCATGTCCCATAATATACTATAACATATTAACTAGTTAATTGATTTATGAACAAATCTATTCAACACACATTGATTGTCAGGCTCTACTGTGGGGATGGCAGAGTAAAGAAGTAGGTATGTTCCTGCTCTCAAGGAGTTTTTAGTCTAGCATTTGAAGACCTGTATGCAAACAAGTAAAACCACTGTTTTATAACAACAATAAAAGGAAGCTATATAAAGAGTGCTATGGGTCTATGTCTGGATTGTGTGGTGGTTACACAATTACACAATTTGTAAAAACTTCTAGAAGTGTATATTGAAAAAATGGGTATTACTGTATGTAAGGTATACCTTAACACCAGACTGAAAAATAACAAAAAAGTAGACATAAAAAATCATGTTAGGGAGACAAAGTACTTCCTAATATACAGAGGGAATGGAGGAGGGCATGGGTGAAACAGAGTCACAAAAAAACCAGAAGATAATATCAAGATAGGTCTTAATAAATTGTAGTATTTGATCAAAGACAATAGGTCTAACCTGTGGGAGGGATCTTTAGGAAATTTTCCTTTTTTTTATTTTTCATAAGAAGATCCTGAAGTTATTCTTATGGTCATAAGTAGTTGTTGAGCAGCTATGTGCTGTGCACTTGACCAGATGCTAGAGATAAAAGGGGGGGGCATAAATGGGGGGTATATGTAGGGATGGCTTCATGAGGGTTGCAGCTGATGCAATAATATTATTGCACGCGTGTGACTATACACTGAGGAGAGTCCAATGGACTTACGAGTGTGGACCAGTGAGTGACTGTGAGCCACAGTCTTAAAGATCAGGCTGATGTGATTAGGGGAAGAAGCTGGGGGCAGGCATTCCAGACACATGGAGCAGAATATACAAAGACCATGGTGAGGGGGGTCCTTGCACATTCAGTCAGGAGGCTGGGGGAGCCCAGAACATTTTATTCAGTGCCTTATTGTCTTTTGGGTCACTTAAGGAGTCTAAAATTTTTAAATTCAAATCTGGGCTTCCAGGTCATCTAAAATTATGTTTGTCATGATAGGAGGATAGAATACAAGGTATTCAATGATTTGTTAGCTAGATTTGTACTGTTTAAATATTTAGAAGTATACCAAGTGGACCTACACTGTGTTCTTGTCCCATACTCTGCAAATGCCAGGGCCAGGCCTACTGATGGTGGTTTTTAAAGGAATGATTAATTAGAGAATGTGCCCTATTTAAATTTTACCACCGTTAGCATTCTTCAGGATCAGACAATAGACACATTAGTCCTAGAGTCTGTCCCATCACTCCTCCTTGCCGTATTATATTAAAGCTTTGCTTAATAAACTATAGAGTTCAAAAAAAAATTGGGTCTGTCTTGGGTCTCTTTCAAGGGGTTCATTACTGTAAGCAACAGGATTTTGTGGTGGCATTGTCGTACCTATAACCAGATTCATAGCCTAAGAATAATAGCATAACCAATGTTGTTATCCCAAGGATTATATATATGAAATGAGGCTGACAGACACAAATTAAATATACTCCAGTGTTAGTCTAATGAAGTTTTCATGTGCCTCAGATCTTGATCTAGAAAAAGAAGGTTTTCACTAAATGTGTCATAGACAAGTCTCAGAAATTGCCGTACCCAAGCCAGCCTTTTCCATAGGTTTTAATGACAATGCTGACTTTAAAATTTTTCTATACACAATTCAAATATTTTGAATTATAGGTTGTTTTCCAATTATGACTTTGAGATTATCATTAAGGATTTTCAGAGTTCAAGCGTTGTAAATATAAACCTAGAAAAGCACATATTTAAATAATCTCCTAAGAATTCTTACAATGTTAAACTACTGTACATTTATGGTCAGAAATGTGACTGGGAAATTGGCACTGTGGGGGTGAGCCAATTGTTTCTTCCTTGGTATGTGGTCCAAACAAGAAAAATTAAATTAGTGGTATGTGCTTTTCCCCAGTCTTCTCCTTAGGGATATGGCTGAAATGTCTAACTAAATAACTCAAGAGATCTGTGAAATATGATCAGCCTGTTTCCTTTTAATCCCCCCCAACCTCCACCATCCCATGTGAAAATTCATAAATTTCTCTCTTGTATTGATTCTTCACTTGTATTAGTTCTGTTCCCTTTATTATTTATATAATTTAGCATCTATGTTGCTTTCAAGGTATCCTGTTCTAAGAACTACTTTATATTTTGAGTTTTTCTTTTCTCCTTGATTTTTTTCTCTTATATTTTAGGAATAGGTAATTTAAATTGTTGTTATTTACAGGTTTTTCTTTTTGAGCCTAAAAGAAACTAACATTTCACTTTTTTGGTAAGGTTTCTAAAGTCTTTATTTAAGTGTTAGGTTTGAGATACACAGACTTTTGGTGCTTTTCTTCGTATATTTAATATTGTCGAATGTGAAAATATTAAAATGGTTGTGTTAGGTAAGCTGGGGTTTGCGTTTTAAACACTTAAAACACAATCTAACCAGAGGTAGAGCGTATATGGCCTTGAGAAAACACATGACCCTCCCAGTACCTTAGATTCATTAACTGCAACCTCATGGAGAATGTACATGTGGCATCTCTCTATAAATATGGATAACCAGATGCTTCAGCTTATTGTTGCTTCATTCATTACTACTGCTAATGTTCTCATGATAGCATAATATTGCTTCAAACAGAACAGTCAGGCCATCTTTTCTTTGCAGTAATAGATTCTGAGTATGTTTACTTCTCAGCAAAAGTAATTGGAAGTCATGAAAGGATTATACTTAGGAAAGTCTGCTTTCAAGTTCATTTGTTGATTATGCATTTCTTCATTTGTTTGACATAAAATTATTGAGTAACTATACATGTAAGACATCATGTTAAAGGGGACTATAGCCAGGGAGACAGACATATGTAGCTAATTTTAGAAAAAATAAAGTGTCCTAAATGCTAAAATGAGTGATATAATCAAGACACGAAAGGAAAACAGAAGAGAGATGGTTAAATCCAAATGGGACAGAGCCAGCAGGGCCATAGAGCTTTTAAGCTAAGTTGGCTGAGTAAGATTCCAATAAACAGACGGAGAGGAAGGTAGTTGTGGGGGCATATGGAGTAGTGGTGAGAAGAGCGGGAGAGAGCTCATTCCCGGGTGAGGAAACAATGCACAGGATGGCAACATGGCATGGTATGTTCTGGAAAAAGTCAGTAGTCCAGAGTTGGCTAGGATAACATTCATGTATAAAATATGAGTGCAGATGCTAGTAGGAAAGTGGTTTGAAACAAATCATGGGCAGAACATGAAATCTCATTTGTGTATAATGTATTCTTGTAGCTTGACCACACCTCATAAAAGAACTAGACTTGCTACCTGAATCAATCACAGTAACACCATTGTGATTACCTGTTTAAGCAAATATCAGCTTCATGAGGTCATGGGATGCATATTTCTTATTCACCAAGTTGTACCCTTGGTGCTTGGTATAAAGCAGGTTGTAGGTATTAAAAGCATGTCTTGAGATCATTGAATGAGTTTGTGATTTAAACAGCTCTTATAGACCACCTGTCACAGAGCGTGTCACTCTTGTGAAGACATTCCAAACCATAAATTTTGGGTGATTATTAACCAAACCACTTTGGTGTAACACAGGTGCAGAATTTTGTACCACAAACCACAGAATGGTAGTTAAGTTTCAGGCATAAGGTGAGGAGAAAGTCAGGGATGTATATTATTAAATTTTGTTTATCCTGCTTCTGCAAGGAAAAAATAGCACAGAGACCTAAATATATTTTGGAAATCGAAAGTAGTATTTCCCAGAGGACCTGTGGAAAATATGTCAGCTTATGAAATGTCCTTTTTAGAAATTTGACAAATGCACCGCCATGGATTTGGCAGGAGAGTTTAAGGATGTTGTGTTGACTTTTTTCATGCAGAATAGATAATTCTCTGAGCTCTGTGTGCTTGTTTTTAGCAAAATAAAGCAAACATAGAAGTAAGAATATAAAACAAAAACATTACTGCTTCTTCGTGGCCAAATCTAGCGATTCCAGACAAGTGGTAGTATACAATTCTGCAAAATCAGTTTCAAAGTTCCCAGGCCCTTTCTCCAGGTGGATAATAAACCTCTGTGACAAGGTGGGTGCTCTTTTTGTAAAAGCAAATGGGTAGGCTTAGTTTGACTTTCAATTTATTGTAAGATTTTCAGTTCCTAAATTATAAAGATACATTTATTATCTGACTGATTAGGTCTTAATTAAGAATGTTAGCAAATCTGTCGTCATCATTATTCTTTATACACATGTGCACACAGAGTTTATTCTACAGATAGCAATTTAATCCAGCTTTTAAGATTTGGGGTTTCCTCATCAAACACTATAATTTTCCACAGTTTGATGCTTTATATAGTTTAAACTTTCCAAGTAAATTAATTCTTTCTTCAAATTTGGGTTTACAGAATAATTCAGATATGGAAAAACACGGAGTCTTTTTGGATTCATTAGAATGTCTTTTTAAAAACCCTATGTTTTCAGACATTTTAGGTTTGGCAATCATCAGAATGAATTTTGCCAATGACTTTTTTTTCCCTTTCTATTCAGACCCACTTATATGTCAAGGAAAATTCAATCCGTATGTTTCTGATTCATTTGTATTCAAGTCATCAAAATGTTGTTTTGTCGAAGTATTGTTTAATGTCCAAGAAACATTATAAGGCTCCTTTTTAAATAAGACTATAGTATCCATTTTTCTCCATATGAACTTGCGGCATAATTTTCAAGTATATCAAGGTAAAAATTCAGATTTTAAAGTCAGAGATTTCAAAGTTTCACTAAATTTTATCAAGAAAACAGATATCAGAGGTATCCAACTATCAAATTAAATTCCAATATAATGAATGCTTAAGTATACTATAAAGAAATTT